GCACACTGCAACGAAGAGTAGCCCCTGCTCGCTGCAACTAGAGAAAGCCCGTGCACAGCAACGAAGACCCAACACAGCCAAAAATAAATAAATAAATATATTAAAAAAAAACCAAATGGGACTGTATCAAACTAAAGCTTTCGCACAGTGAAGGAAAAGAAACCACCAACAAAATGAAAAGGCCACCTACTAAATGGTGAAGATATTTGCAAGTGATATATCCAATAAGGGGTTAATATCCAAAACATACAAAGAACTCATACAACTCAACATCAAAAAACCAACCTGATTAAAAAACCGGCAGAGGATCTGCATATACATTTTCCCCAAGGAAGACAAATGGCCAAAAGCCACATGAGAAGATGCTCAACATTACTAATCATCAGGAAAATGCAAATCAAAACCACAACGAGGTGTCATCTCACACTTGTTAGAATGGCTGTTATCAAAAAGACAACAAATGACAAGTGTTGGTGAAGATGTGGAGAAAACAGAACCCTTGCACACTGTTGCTGGGAACATAAATTGGTGCAGCCACTATGGAAAGCAGTATGGAGGTTCCTCAAAAAATTAAAAATAGAACTACCATATGGTCCAGAATTTCCACTCCTGCGTATTTATCTGAAGAAAACAAAAACATTAATTAGAAGAGGTATATGCAGCCATGTGTTCGATGCATTATTCACAATAGCTAAGACATGGAAGCAACCTAAGTGTCCATCAAGAGACGAAAGTATAAAGAAGATGTGGTACGTACACACACACACACACACACACACACACACACAGGAATATTACTCAGCCATTAAAAAGAATGAAATCTTGCCATTTGAGACAACATGGATAGACTCAGAGGGTACATGCTAAGTGAAATAAGTCAGGTAGAGAAAGACAAATACTGTATGATTTTATTTATATGTGGAATGTGAAAAAACAAATGCACAAACATAACAAAACAGAGTTATAGGTACAGAGAACAAACAGGTGTTTGCCAGAGGGGAGGGAAGTAGGGGGAAGAAAGAAATAAGTGAGGAAGATTAAGAGGTACAAACTTCCATTTGCAAAATAAATGAGACATGGGTAAGAAATGCACCGTATGGGGAATACAGTTAATAACTATGTAATATCTTTGTAGGGTGACATATCCGTAACTAGACTTATTGTGGTAACCAGTTTGACATGTATAGACATATCAAATCACTGTTATGTAACAGAAACTAACATAGTGTTGTAGATCAATTATACTTCAAAAACGGACAAAGAAACAACAAACATAGAAAAATAGATCAGATCTGTGGTTACCAGAGGCAGGGGATGGGAAAAAGGGGGATTGTATGAAGGCAGTCAAAAGATACAAACTTATAAGATGAATAAGTACTAGGGATGTAATGTACAACATGATAAAAATATAATGAACACTGCTCGACGTTATACATGAAAGTTGCTAAGAGGGAAAATTCTAAGTTCTCATCACAAGAAAAGAAATTTAAATTTCTTTAATTTTGTATCTATATGAGATGATAGATGTTCACTAAACTTATCATGAATCACGCTTCACACCTTAAACTTACACAGTATTTTATGTCGGTTATATCTCAATAAAACTGGAAGAAGAAATAAAATTCATAATTATAGTTTAAAACCATTATTCCAATTAACCAAACATTTTTCAAGGTTCCTTAAAAGTGCCTGGTGGGACATTCTAGACTTATAGGAAGAACAGTAAGATTTGCAAGCTAAACTTGAACCCCTAAAGAAAAACTATGGCTGTGGAATTTGTACGTTTCATAAAATGACTTTAACTTAAAAAACCTAAATTTTGATAGATTTACTGTTATAAAATCTGTCCCTGAGAGCACCAAAATCAAACAGAAACACAAAACACACACACACACACACACACACACAACAAGAACAAAGGTAATCAATCCAAAAAATAAGCCCAGGCAACTGGCAAATTTCATGAAGTGAATGGTTCCAATGCTTGCCTTTCTTTGGACATAAAAGGGAGGAGTGAGAATGACATGACTTTACATTTCTTTATACCACATGGGTAAGAAAATGCATCCCTTCAGTGCAAAGAGATTCAAGCATAAGGCACATTCTAGATAAATACGTCTTAGAGTCTATATTTTTATTATTTGATCTAGTTGTTGAAAGATTTAACTTCTTCCTCATTAATGAGGAAGGCACACACACACACACACAAAAAACCCACTTTTCTTTTAAGAAAACTGGGTGGACATAAGAATCAACATGGTGCCTTTCATCGTGGAGTTTATCTTCCTTCTGTTTGCTCCCTACCCTTCTCTTCACAAGTCCGTTCCCCAGTGCACAGTGCCAGGTGCCATCCAGGAGGGCAGAGCCTCCCAAGGTCGCAGAGCCCTGGTGCCACAGCGGAGGCAGCCTCGAGCAAGGCAGGCACCGCTTTCTCACGTGAGGAGATGAAGCAAACAGCAGCACACGCAGGCCAGCAATCAGGGGCTCAGGCATCTGCTGACCTGGGGTAATCGCCATTGTTTGCTGCAAGCTTCAGGCTCCACATCCTCATAGGCAGTGCTGTGGCCATGAAGTACCAGGGCAGTTCTGGCTGTACTTCTCAGGCATCTGAACTATTCAAAGCATGTTGTTAAATTTTTTTTCTCTCTCTCTTTTAACAATGGAAAAACAGGAAACAAAAGGAAGCCATCCGAGCTTCTTTAACTGACAGGTAAAAGGAGCCACTCCAGTCTGGTATGTTGAGACGTTCACCGTGGAGGGGAAAGGGTTTCTGAGAGAGCTGAGGATAGAGCAGGAGGGGCACACTGGGCCAGCCTGTGGAGGGCCATTTCCTGGCAACCGAGGATCTGCCATTACCCTCTATTTGCAGAGGCTCTGGAGCACGGCCTGCCTGATTCGCTTCTCAGGAAAGTAACTGCAGAGGTGGATAAACGAGGGAGAGGGTGGCTGTGAAGATGAGAAGCCCAGGATGGGACAGAGGCTGGGGAGAGAGACCGTGAGGGCCCAAACGAAGGCAGAGACATGGGAATGGAGAGAAAAGAGTCACTTCTGACGCGGGAACCCTGAGATTGGGTGACGGACTCTGTAGGTGAAAGGCAGGGAGGACTGTGAGTGCTTTGATGTTGCCGCTTTAAGACCATCGGATGGGCAGCAATACCATGAACTGAAACTGAAAATACAGGTATCAAAGCAGAACTCATAGTAGTAGTAGTTGAGGTGGTGAGTTAATGAGTTAAGTTTTAAGCATATTAGATTGCAGTGTCTGCAGGATAAAGTGGTACAAACGTTAAAAAAAAATGGTTTGGGTTAGAGAAATATGGACTTGAAAGACCTCAGAGGAATGGTGGTGGAAATCCTGGTGGGAAATCACCCAAGGGAAGCGCAGTGAGAAGAAACCAGGATGTTATCCCCATCTCGAGGAGGTACGCAAAGGAGAGGCTGGATGGAGAGGTGGAGGAGGGAGAGCCGGGAAGGTGCAGTTCCCAGGGCCCTGGAGGGAGTCTGGAGAGGCAGGGGGTGTCAACAAGGCCTCTACACGGACATCGCTGTAAACAAGGGTGGAAACAAAAGCCACCAGGCTTGGCAGCTAGGAGGTCACTGGTGACATCAGAGGAAAGTCTGAGTACAGGGGTGGAGCCCACAGTCGGGTTAAGGACTGAGTGGGAGTTGAGCGATGGGAGAGAGTGAGTGCGGACTATTTTAAGAAGTCTGTGCATCACATTTCTAACCCTATCAATGGAATGAAGGGGAGGCAGGGTTGAGAGTTTATTTTTAGGTTGGGGAGACTTGAATGTGTTTTAGGCTGAGAGGCAGGTGCCCCTGAAGAGGCAGGGTTTAGAAGGACAGGAGAGAGGGGAGATAACTGATAGAGAAAGATTCTGTGAGAGTGGGAGGGAGGATGGGGAGGAAGAGAGCTCTGCTGTCACCGTGGGGGCAGGTACCCGGCGGGGCACCAAGACAGGCGCCCCAGGTACAGCTCATTCCTTAGAGCAACAAAATTTTTTCAGCGAGGAGTATTTAATCACTGACGTTGTTTAGAATTGCTGGTACGTGGAGTTAATAAAAAGTAGACCAACTCTGAGTCTGTTTTATTACGGTTTTAAAATTCTCTGCAGACCAGACATCCAATTATTACCTGCACCTCTCATCACGTGGACCCCTCCCAAGGTTGCACCCTTGGAATGCCACTGAAAACACCTCCTCTGAGACGAGAGGTAAAGGTTTATGAGTCACTTTAGAGAAGAGATTCAGTCTTTACGTTTTTTTCTGTGTGCCATGAGATGAAAAGGGATGGCTGAGGAGAGTGGTAAAGGGTTAGAACAGCTACAAAGCATGACTCAGTGCCAGGGACCTGGGCTTCAAGGTGCTAAACAGTCTCAGCCCACCTACAGCCCACAGTGTCATCAGTCATCAGGGAGAGGGAGAAGGCAGCCGTTTTCTCCACCCAACTCCATTCACACCCCCAAAAGAAGGTTAGAATCCGGCAGGGTTTGCTTGGCACGTAGCCAGTGCCTCTGCCTAAGCAAAAAGGCACCAGCAGACTCTCCAGATGCTCTGGCATCAGAAAGTGCTCTTCAGAACCTGAGGAAGGCTGAAGAATTGGACAGGAAAGCCACAATGCAGTTTATCACTTGAGTCATGCTTGCACCCTTGTCATTTTGCATGGGATAAATATGAATTTTGATTAATCTACAGGAAAACTATTTTTCACTAGCAAGAACTAACAAAGAAGACTATGTTTGCATGTTGATTTCTTTGGCCTCTTCCCAGAGCAATCAGCATCAATAACATTGCCTCGCCCAACAGAAGATACACATACATACATATGCATACACACACACATGCACACAGACACGCACACCGTTCCATGAAAGGACATATGAACCCAGTAACCACTCAGGGTTATGCCAAACCAACCAAAGTGAAAGCATCCTTCAAATTTCAAGACACTGCTGAACGAATCCCATTTGGGGACCGCCAGGCACTGTGCTAAAGGATATAGAGTGATAACTTTTTGGAGCAGTTCAGCAGAGGAAATGAGAATTCGGTGCATGGTCAGCATGACTTGCAACAGTTGGTTACTTCGACACAGGTTTCCGTCTGCATCTGAAAACATAAAGAGCAGCTTCTGAGCGAGGCCCCAGAGAGGAATTAGTTACCTGGTGGGACACCTGCCAGCCCCCCATCACTCCCAGTGGAAGGCCAGAGGGCGGGCTCTGCAGGCCCAGCGCCCTGCCCCCACTGACTCTGACACCACACATCCATCCCTCCGTTCTTTGCTTTTCTTTATCCTCCAGCTGCATCCTCCCCAACCCCAAGTGTCCATTTTGAGGCTCATTAACCACGCTGCCAGAAAGGTGGTAGAATCGTGGGGAAAGGATAACATTTGCACTGGTACATGCGAGTCTCTGTTGAAAGCAGAAGCAGATCCAGGCTTTGTGATGCCTAAAAGGCATATAACGGGAGAAGGAGGAAGTCCTTTCTGGGGTCAGAGGGAAAAAAGTTATAGTCTTACCAGATTATTCTTGCAAGTTTTACAAAAACATATGACCATATGAATACATTTCTAGGGCTGTCCCATGGCCTTGGAAGTGGGCTCATGCAAACGAGGGGCCCTGAAATGTAAGCTTCCCTAGTTTTACGGGCAGTGCGCTCTGGATGGGAATAAAGGAGGAAGACTATGGGCAAACATGACTTTTGGAGATTATGGGTGGGTTACAAGTACCCATGATGATTTGTATCAAAGATCATGGCTAGCGCCTTACTTGGGTTTTGCAAATCCTGCTGGTACCACATAACAAGATGCATTCCATACAATGGCATTGGGTGCAAAGATTCCCCCTGGAGTGGTTTTCAAAATCTTTTAACATTTACGGCATGAAGTGTTAGGGGCTGTGCTGGTTATTCACTGCAGATTTAGTCTCTGTCCTTCACCATGGACTGCATCACCAGGCTCCTTGCTAGCCAGCTTCCAGTTGGGTTCAGCCATTGGGATGCATCGGCAAGAGATGGGAGGAGAGAGAAGTAGGTATTTCTTTCTCCTTCCCTCTCTGCTTGGCACTACTTCCCTGTAGCTACAGGTCTCTTCAATGAGTGATCACGCTGCTTGGTCCCTCTTTGAGGGCTCTAGCTCTCACCGGGATCTAATACTATATACTAATCTCCCTTTTGACCCTTTGCTCCTGAGGGTGGTAACGACTTCTGGCTGTTGATAGTCTCTGGGTGCAGCATCTCTTAATTCCACTCTCATCTCTGTAAGTAGGCCCCCATCATTAAAGTGTCTTCACTTAAACAAACCATGTGAATTCTGTTCCCTGCTGGGAACTTGAATGATTCAGGGGAAAATATCTAATGAAAGAATATACATGGATTCTTTTATCATTTGCTAGCTCTTTAAAGCACATTATACAAAAGGGGTTATCATTTTCATTCTTTCCAAGTATACCAAATGGTAAATGAAGGACATAGTGCATTTGGGCTCAGGATTCAGAAGTTCTGGCTCACTCGCAAATGATGAGCTAAAGTCATAGCTCATTGAGAAAATATAAGCAAACGCGACAAGATCGCTCACCTTCCCACCGCCAAATCCACCAATTTACCCGCATTCTATTACTCTTACTGCCTGCCTTCCTCTATTACCATGAAAGGCACTTCACAGGTCAATGCTTCCACTGAGCTCTGGGTCTCCTTTTTCTCAAGGACACTGACACTGTCTTTGTCCACGTTCCCTCCTCCAGTATCAACTTTCCTCTTTCTCTCACCTGGTTTACTTCCACTGGTATTTAAGCACACCCCAGAACCTCCTATTTAAAACGAAATGAAATAAAACAAAACCTGAAACTCTAGGCACCTCTCCATTCTGTTCCCCTTTTCAGCAAAACCTCAGTCATCAATTTCTCATCTCCCATTCCCTTTCATCCATACCATTTTTGACTCCTACCTCTCTTTCTTTTGTTGTTTTTTTGCGGTACGCGGGCCTCTCACTGTTGTGGCCTCTCCCGTTGCGGAGCACAGGCTCCGGACACGCAGGCTCAGAGGCCATGGCTCACGGGCCCAGCCGCTCCGTGGCATGTGGAATCTTCCCAGACCGGGGCACGAACCCGTGTCCCCGGCATCGGCAGGCGGACTCTCAACCACTGCGCCACCAGGGAAGCCCTCTCCTACCTCTCTTATTCCACAAAATCTTTTATTTTCAAGGTGTCCCATCTTTTATTTTCAAGGTCCACATTGCCAAATCCAAGGGTTCATGCCTCTGTCCTCATCTTACTTTATGACTTGAGTTGCATACAACCCAACCCAGCCCAAGCTGACAACTCTCTCCTCCTTCCTGGAGCATTTTCTTCGCTTGGCTTCCACAACATCACACTCTCTCAGCTTCCCTCTCCAGCTCTTGTTCTGTCTCCTCTTCGTTTGCTGAGCTTTTAAATGTTACTGTGCTCTGTGGCTTAGTCCTCCCACTTCTTTTTTTTTCTAAAAATTTTTAGAGTCTAAAACTTTTCAAGTTTTAAATTAAAAAAAATTAACTTCTTTCTTCTAGGTAGGGGAATTCATCTAGTCGTTTGGCGAAAATACCATTGATATGCTCATGACTGCCCAACAGACATCTTCAGCCCTGAGTACCGAATTCTTACGTCCCACATCCTACTTGGCGAATCCACATAGATGTGTAATTTCTGACTTAACTCATACAAACAAAATTCATGACCTCTCCGTCCCCTAATTCACTTCTCCTCCATTTTTCCTCATCTCAGGAAATGGTACCACCAGCCATCCGCTCAGTTACCCAAACAAAAAACCTAGTGGTCATCCTTCATTTCTCATTTTTCCTCGCATCCAATACATTAGCAAGTCTTGATTCTACTTTCAAAATATGCCTCAAACCTCTCCATGTTTCCCCATCCTTGCCATCATGCTGTGTAGCCATTACCACGATGACCTAATTGACCTCCCTGTTTTCACTCTTATCCACTTACCCACAAACTGCTCTTCACACAGCAGCCAGGAGTGAGCTCCTAAAACCCATAAATCAGGTCATGTGCTTAATTCGCTTCAATGGGTTCCATTATACTTGTAATAACACATGGACTCCTTACTACAGCCAACAGAGCTCTACATGTTCTGGCCCCTGTTAACCTCCCAGTTCATTTCATACCATATTACTCCTCTCTATACCACTGTTTATACCTCGAACGCTCCAAGCTTATTCCTACTTTGCATTTGTTATTTCCGTCAGTGTGGCCTTTCTTCCCTTGGCCCATTCATGTCATTTATGTCTCAGTTTCAAGGTCACATCCTCAGAAAGGTCTTCCTTAAACTACTTAAGGTAGCCATGGTCCTGCCTGAGTTTCTTCACAACACTTACCAGTGATCTGAAGTTCTCTTTTTTTATTTGATTTTTATTTTCTGAGTCTCTGCTAGAATATAAGCTTCATGAGACCTGACCTTGTCTGTTTTTTCCACAACCATATCTCTAGGGTCTACAACAGTGCTGATACATGACAGTTACTCATTAAACACTTCTTGAGTAAATGAGTGAACTACACCAGATAGGAGACCCCTTAACTTTTCATGTATCTTTGGATATTGAGTTTGCTTTTTTCATTAGCTATTTCATTAATGATATATAATATACACACATTTTCTTCTTGGCCACAGTTTATAAAAGAAACAAAGTTACAATTTGATAAATCATTTTTAAGAAGTATTCATCTAGCCTGTTATAGTTTTATAAATCGTTCATTACTTATTCTAAGCTTACACTCTGGTGAGGTGGGGTTAGTACTGCTATCTGTTTTCTGGCCCACATAATTTCTGTAATATTTATCTCCTGCCACAAAAATTCTGCATAACAAAACACCCCAAAATTCAGTGCCTGAAAACAGTAATCTTTTTTTTTTTTTCCTCAAGAGTCTGTAAGTTGGCTAGGGGTTGGCTGATACAGGCTGGGCTTTGCTAGGGCTCCTATCCTACATGCCCCCCCCAACTTCCCTGGACCAGTGGGCTAGCCAGGGTATGCTCTTCTCATGGTGATGGCAGGGTGCTGTAGGACAACTGGAAATATCCAAGGCCTCTTAGGCCTAGGCTTAGAACTGGCATGCTGTCACTTCTGCTTTATTCTGTTGGCCGAAGAAAGTCACTGCTGAATCTCAAGTCAAAGGGCAGGAACCTCAAAGTCATATGGAAAAGATCGCTGACACAGAGAAGGTAAAATTGGGCGAGGAGGCAATAACACAATCAAATCTACCGCAATTATACGGATGTAAGTTTTCAAGTCAGCATCTGACAATATAGTTTTTATAAGGCACCTTTCCTCACAGAATTTTATAGTAGTGCTTCTATTCCCGTACGTTATGGTACAAAGCAGGAGAAACTGAAATATATTTGTAGGGTATGCATTAGAATGTTCCTGGAGTTATGGACACAGTCGCAGACTTATTCAGTATGAATAAAATCTAAGACTTGCTATCTCAATTGTTCTTTGTGGCTGGCTAGCATCCTTCCATGGATGCTCACATATTAGGGAAAGGGGCTTAGCAGTATCCTGGGTAAGATGAAAACCAAGTCACATACAGAAAGATTCAACGACCCAAATAGGTTTACCATGGAGAAGACTCAGTAGAGATATTAAAATTATCTTCAAATATTTGTAACGTTAACTGTGGGAGAATGTTTAGACTTGTTCTGTGGGGCCACAAATGGCAGAACCAGAGAGGATGAATAGAAAAAGTTATGGGAAAGAGAACTGGGCACAACACGTGGCAGAAAATTCTAACCATTAAGCCTGCCCAACAACGGAAGCATTTGCATCACAGACCTCTGTATTCAAGAGGAGGCTGGGGAGGGACACTTTATTCAATTATTGTAATTGGCATTGAACCTATTCTTTACTGAAGTCCTACTCAATACCAGGGGCTATGCTCAGCACTTTGATGTTATTTCTAATTCTCACAACACCTCTGCAGTGTTGATACTGCTCACAATTTACAGCTGAGGAAATGAAAGCACAGAGAGATTAGGTCGTTTGTTCTAGGTCAAAGAGACAATGGGTGGAGGAGCTCAGGATCTGGCTCCTGGTCTGTTTGATTCCAGATCCCCAGCTCTTTCCA